GGGTAATTATGTCAGACCAAATAAAAAGAGCTACAAGGCAGATTCGCCGAAAAGAGCAAAATTTGCATCAGGATTTAGTCCGTGAGCAGAGAAGGCGATATGATGCTGAGGCTGAGCGTGATAATGAAATTATATGAAGACAAAATGCTGAAGGAGTGGAACAACTGGTTATTGCTGACCTTCATCAGTTGCGAACTAATGGCCGAAATCAGGTTAATAGAATGTTAGATAGGATAGCAAGAAAGCAAACCCGTATAGGTGTGCTGGTACAAGAAAAATTCGCCTTACAGTTACTCTACCAGCGAAATGCCCACCACCTACAGCAGAGTAGAGGGGATATAGGTTTATTAGAATATAATCGAGACAGGCTCTATGAGCGATATGAGAAATGGAAAAATAAGACTCGAGCAGAACGCCAGAATATTTTAAATTTGCAGGGACAAATATTTGCATTACAGAATAACCCACCTAACATACAACAAATAGGAATGGTAGGATACGGACCCCCAATATTTTATGGACGTCCTGGAGAAGATCCAGAAGACTGGCTTAGAGACATGCAAAGATATATAATAGCTAGTCGGATTAATGTTGCACCTGGCGCAGGTCAGGCCGCCGGAAGAGAAGAGGCATTTGGATTGGTAGTATCATGCCTTGCAGGTGATGCACTGAATTGGTATAATACCCGCGTTAAGGGTAAAAATTGGAGATGTAATAATCTTTCAGACAATTTGGGAGTAGCTGATCTAAATGCTGTTCGTGGAATAGGTGCCGGAAATGGAGCTAATCAAATTGGTGGTTTGAATACTGCTGGAGAATTTCAAGGTAAGGCGGCCGCCGAAATTGGTAGAATTGGTGCAGGTGTCGCAACTGGTGCTGATATTATTCCGAATGGGACATGGGATGAAGACTGGTCTATAGCTGGTGGCGAACCTGTAGATAATGCACCAGTAGCACCTAATGCTGGTGGTGGTTTACCTGCTGTTACAATTGCTCCTGGCATTAAGCTTGGTCAACTCCTTTACCTGTTTAGAACTGCCTATACGACAGTTGAACATTTAAAACAAACGGCTGTTTTTGGTCAACTCATGCAAGGTGATATGTCAGTTGAGCAGTTTTCTGCCCGAATCAAAAAGGTTGGTAAATTAGCTGAAATGACTCCCGAACAGCAAAGGGAGCAATTTATTCGTGGCTTAAATCCTATGAACCAATATAATATTTGAATGATGGCTAAATTTTATGATACACAGGATAATATTACAAAAGCCCTAGCCGAAGCGGAAAAATATACATTATCTCAAAAGACTGCACCATCTTCTCTTCCTATTTTTCCGACAGCCAATCCTTACGTAGATACTAATAGATCAGGAGGTGGGATGACTAAAAATGAAATCGAGGACTTGATAAAAACCACAATGGCTTCCTCACAGCCCCAACAAAATACTGATTTACAAGCCATAGCTAAATCCTTTCAAGAGACTATGTCTCGAGCGACTAAGACTCTAGATAATAGTAAAAAATCGGCCAATAAGAGAGGAAAAAACCTTATTATTAGACGATTTTTAAGTGAACTATTAAGAGGGCAAGGCAAGGTAGCTCCTGGTGATGATTATGATTATGACCCTGTGGATGATCTTACTGACAGTATGGCCGGCATGACACTTAATAGTGCCACAATAAATGCTATCAAATCTGCTGTTAAAAGTGCTGTTAAGAAATGTTCTAAGTGCGGTAGATTTGGACACACTTCTCGTAAGTGCTCTGTAAAGAAGAAAAAGAAAAGCAAGAAGTCGAAAAAAGGTAAGGTCAATCTCGCTATAGAACCAGATTCTGATTCTTCTTCAGACAATACTTCATCTAGTGATAGTTCTGATTCTGATACAAGTTCCTCCGATTCTTCCGACTCTGATGGTGATCTTAATGTTCATATGGCTAAGGCAAAAAAAAAGTGAAGTGTAATAAGAAGGGGGTGAATCCAAGAAATCGTCCTCTAAAGAGACGTCTAAAATACCACTAGAGGAAACTATTCGTAAAGTCCTTCATAGTGAGCTTAAATTAATTTTTCCTGCACATTTTTTCCAAGATTCCAGTCTCATTGCGTCCAAACAGATAGTGGCAGAGAAGATAATATCCCAAAATGATACACTGACATCTTCCAAAGATTCGGATGAGTCCAGTCTGGAAGAGGAGTTTTTAGATGATCCTATGGAAATTTATTTTGTTCAGAGAAAGGAGCCGAAGACTAGTGTTGCGACTGTAAAGTGTAAAATCAAGCGCCTAAAGATTCCAGCCATGACTCTTGATTCTGGAGCTGAACCCCCTATCATAACGAAAAACATTGTTGATCGTGTTAAGGCCGAAATAGATAAATCTGAAAAACATGATCTTAGCGGTGTCGCTACTGTCCCTATTGAATCTATTGGTATTGTCCGCAATTTGCCAATTACTTTAGCTCCAGGACTTACTATTCATGAAGATTTTATAGTTGTAGATTATCATAAGCCAACGCTAATATTTTCCAACCAACTCTTAAAGAAATATGGATGCGCTGTGGACTGGAGCACAGAAGAGCTAAAAATTCCTTTCAATGGAAAAGATTATATTATCCCAGTCACTATGCATAAGGTCAAGAACAAGCTCGAGGTGAATTGTGCGATCACTACTTCCGAATGTGATGATCTATCAACTCCGGACAAAGTTTCTCAAGACTCACAGGGGTTAAGTGAGGAGGATACATTAAAAAAAAGTGAGTTATGAGGAGCTTGAAAAATTGTTATATGATACTCTCATTTCCAAAGCTAGATTAATTGAGATTAATAAAAATCTACGATCCCTTTCTTCTCGCTAACTATACACCCTGGCTTAGCGGATGGTCTCAGTGCGACCCCTGCGAAGTATTTTTTGTCTGAATATAATGAAAGGGTGGGTTGAGAGCTAGGAACTTTTCTGATTCGCGTATAGCTTCCTCTGATTCTATACGATCCTTTTTGATTGAAGCAAATATGTCTTGTGAGATGTCTAGGGCGGAGTTTTGATAAAGGTCTCCTGCTGAAATCTCAGGTAAGTCAGAACTTTGAATAGATTTGGGCTGGTCCTGGAGGGAGCGCTTCGGTACTTTCTTTTTCTTTTTTTGCTTTTCTTGAGCATTAATCTCAATAGACTCATGAAATGGATCGGTCCTAGCCGAGCCAGAGGGATTCGAAGAATCAGGTGCTAAAGCAAAGGGACCATCTAAAGATCCTGAAATTGGATGATTATTTTCTTTTTCCTGGGGATTATTCTCTGAAGGAGGGACTGATGAGATGGATTGTACCTTCCTAAGCTCCTCGAGAAAGTGGTTTCCATTTTGCTGAAAACGCTCACAATCATTCCATATATCATGAACACGATTTTTATTAATATGATACTCCTTTACTATCATATATACTGGAACTTTATTTTTAAGATGTCTAATTTCTTCGATCTGCTCAGAAGTCAAGACTGTTGCACTTCGCCGATAATGAGTTTTCAAAATTGAGGTAGACATACTCCTCCGATATTTTTTTAGACAATGTATTTAGATGTATAAAAAATATTAGACAATAATATTTATCGTTTTAGATGGATAATAAATATTAGAATTCAATATTTATGGTTTTAGGATGAGAGAGAACGCTAGAGAGTATATTTTATTGCTTTAGATGGGTAGAATACATTCTAATATGCTATCTAAATAATAATAAAAAACGATCGATATCCTTCCTATTCATTCTATATTTATCGTAATTGTTCTCTAACAAAAAATATGAAAAGTTTTTTTTTTACAGTTTATGGCCAATGTAAACAAATGGGAACATATGATCTTGAAAAGGAGATATATCGCATCTTGGAGGACTCATCCAAAATTCGAGGCTATAATGCTAGGTTGCGGAACGAATATATAAATCTCAATGATGAGAATAGGCGGTTGAAGGTTGAAAACTCCAAGCTCGTCTCCCAGAATGCTTGTACAGAAATATCTCTTGCTAAAGCCAAAGCCGATAACTTTGCAAAATCAGAGGAAGTAAAATCGCTTCAGTCTGTGATTAATCTATTGGCCCCAGAATACTCTAATCGGTCAGAACCATGGCGCAGTAGACGCAGTAGGCGCAATATGAAATCGCTTAATTTCGGCCAGCACTATTCCATATTTTTTTTCCAAAACTTTGAGACGCCATAACTCGGCATTCAGGCATCCGATTCATGCGATCTTAGCATTATTGGAAAGCTCTCAACGCCCTCATCAGAACGAGCACAAAACCACACGAAACCAATCACAGGATGCCAAGATATTCCGCCCTAAAGATCAGGTCAAAAATATAGCATAGTGTCGGCCAAAATCTGATCGCAAATTTACTGCGCCACCTGATCACAACATGATTATAAGCAATCAATGACGGCCTAGCATCTTGGCCACAAAAAGACCGTAGAGCAATGAAAACAAGCGGATAGCTAAAAGGTAATAAAAAGAAGATAGAGCAATAAAAACACATGGATAATTACAAAGCAATAAAAAGACTACAGAGTAATAAAAACAAATGAATATCAACTTGATTATAAAAAGGCCACAGAACACCAAAAAGCAGTAACCAGGTAACAATATATACATAACCAGATAACATTATAGCGTAACCGGTTAGCATTCTTATAAGAATGCTAACCGGTTAATTCAATAATTTTGTCTATATTCACTTCAGATGAATTATCTTTTTTGTCATCCTATAACTTCGATAATATTTGATAGCGTGTAATTTCTAAGCCATCTACTTTATACCATGTGGTTTGCAAATCAGCTAGTAATTTAAACTCATCTGAATAATATAATAAATATTGTTTTATGATCATAGCTTTTGATTTGCTTTATATATACTGTCTCTATACTCTATATCAATCTCAAAAATTTCTTTAAGCAATAATGAAAGTTTTAAGTGGATAGAATCCTCTTGCTTATCTAACACATTGAGAAAGAAAGTGTAATAAGCATTATTTTCTGAGCATTTTACTATTCTATTAGCATAAGTAGTATTAAATAAAGTTTTCGCGTAAATGTAAGTCCCTCTCTATAGATGAGATATGATAGCTTCATTCTTTTTCAGACCTTCATGAAGGTTTTTAATATAGCTTTTAACCAACTTTTCAGCTGATTTTTGCATTAAGGCATCTCTTATTTTTGATATCTCATCTTCATCCATTTCATCTTCATCCTCTTTGTCTTCATCTAGGTCATCGCCTTCATCCACCTACTATCATCTGCTTTATTATCACCTGCTTTAATTATCTTTTAACTTTTTTAAGACTTCCAGCAAAGTTTTAGATGATGGCTGGTATCTATCATCATAATTTATAAAACATGCACAGAGCCTGATAATACTTTTCAGATAATAGTTAATATTAATCTTTTTATTAAGACGTCTTGCAACTTCTGGGTATTCCATTTTATCACCTACTTTCTGTGATGAATCATTCTCAATTACAACATATTCAAACTGCTCTCCTGATTCTGAAATTTCATAAAGATAAGACTCAGGTGCTAAGCCCTTTTTTATAACCCGTTTGGTATCTGCCTCTTCATAGGTATGTCTATCTCGCATTCATGAAATAAAGCGCTATACACTCTTGTTATTTTTATCAGACCTTTACACAGAGGTTTTTATTATTTCATTAAGATCTGTCTGCAAAATATTCCTTACAATCTCTTTGAGCACGTTCTCTACAATCTGATGTAAGATACGTGTATTGTTTACCCTCATTGTTTCTTCCATAATATGTTTTCCTATTTTGCGGAAAACACTAGACTGTTCTCACTTTACAGTCTCAACTTCCCGGATGAAAATCTTGTTATTAAAGTTCAGTTTGCTTATATGCAGAATGCCATAATATTTTTTCTTTCTAGTATATACTACTATAAATAAGACTTCCTCATACGTCATATTAAGATAAGTTGATCTATTATCTTTCCTGAGAATGTTATTAACATCATTTCGAAGCTCACTCATTGCCTTCATAGATATTCTTACCATCTCCTCCCAGTACTTTTCCTTCGATATCTTTTCTGAAATACATTTCTCATAACATTTCTGAAAATATTCTTTTGGACAAATGAGATATAATGAATGGTATTCCTATACTTTACACCAAAACTTTTACTTCTGACAAGGTCAACTATAAGCTTGATATTCTGCTGACCAGCTGATGTCACCCACCTGCTAATTCTCACAAGAAGAAAGGAGAGCCACTATTCCTCGCTTCACTGTAAAATGAATTCATATACACTTTTAAGTGAGTTGTTGAGCATCTAGACAAGCGACATTGAAGGAAACTGAAGAGTATTCAGATTTTAAAGCATTTGTAATGACCTCACCCCTTGCTTCTGCTAAACTAATCTCCTTTTCTAATTCTTCCCTTTTATCCTTTAATGAAACAAGACGTTTTTTTAATAAATTTCGTCTAATTAGCAACCCCTCTAATACTTTTGGATAAAGACCTTTCATTTTAGCTTAGTTTTTATGCTTTATAGACCACGTGAGAACATCCCAATTATTAAATTTGAAATTTATTTCATGAAGCTTTTTACCACTTTTCTTAGAGAATTGGCATGCTTTCGAGATAAAATAATTTTATCAGGTGAGAGATTGTATGTCATGATAAGATTCAGATATAATAATGTAAAGTCTAAGCCAGTTACAGGATATTTATTTTTGAGACCCTTTACTGGCGGGAAAACATAGATTCCAGGTATTTTCACGTTTCCGTTTGTTCACATGGAATTGTAATAGTTAAAATTCCTTCCTGCAATACACTGGCACTTAAAAGATTATGCACTTTTATTCCTATTGCAAAATAATGTGAATCATATAATGATATGAAAGCTACAGATGCCACCTCCCTGTACTTGTTAATTGCATTACGTTTTACCATTAACCGCTGACAGCTAATAGTATTGATAATAAAATATTCAGCTACTTTACACATCTGCTCAGCCATTATAGCATTAGTTTCTTTTAACACACTTTTATAATACTTAAGTATATAATAGATAGGCATATCCAGCTTGTTATCGAGTTCACATTCCTTTAAATGATATGCTAAACTGCTCTTTTCGGTCTTAGGATAGAATTTCATAAAACATGATCAGTTATCAATAGCTACACACCCAGGGATTTTAAGATGCTTTGAATAAAAATCCCTATAATTGACCTTTATCGCATTATATTAATATTGCTATTTTACAATTTTTTCAAGGCTTGAAGGCTTTGATAGTACACCTATTCAAGAATCCCTAGCTTTTTCGCTTTTTCTACAATAAATGACCAATTATATTGTGAATTATTAAAGCCTATATGTATATCTAGAGTTAAACATTTCCAATATAATGCAAATGCTTTTAACAGATTTACTTGATTCCCACATATAATTGTGGTCCAACATAGGTCTGACGCAGTTTCAACATCTACAAGACGGATTTGCTTTAATGGATTGGGTTCATCTTTCCAATGGACTGACATGCAGAGCATAAATATGTTAGATTTATCACTCTGTGTAGTGGAAAGTTACCTAGTCCAAGTGAATTATATGTTTCTATGTCTCATGTGAGAACAAGAATGCAATTCCGTAAAAGCGCTGAGAAAAATAATGGATTATTATACTCAGTATCGCTTAATGGGTTGTATTTTTTACAGATACTTGAAAGAGATAAGTATTTTCTAACAGTATGTATGAATAATTACTTAATAGCGCCCAGCTTAAAAAGGGCAATCTTTTTTCACAGGCTACTTTGCGATAATAATACTAGCAGTTTAGATCATCTAAGGCTGTACATATTTCAACAGCACAGACTGCTTTTAATGCATTATACCGATCATATTAGTTCTATGTTCTCACAGATATATGGTTTCTTTTCTGTATGGTATCCTTGAAGTGGATATGCGCTAATAGTCTCGATCCCAAACTTTGATGTACTATTAAGAATATTAGATACTATCCTTACTAATTTGGTCTTAAATATAGATAATAACATTTCTTCATATATTTCAATATCAAAGAAGGATCAAATGCCTGTAATATTCATGATTGCCTTTATCCATTAATTAAAGAAACAGTAATATGCAAAATATAGGTGAAGAGCCTATTTACATATTTAGTATCATTACTAACTTCAGTAGGCATGAAATGTATGAGTTGCTTGCCGGATAGGCTTTGTTGAAGTATAGTGGTCATCCCATTATTGAATTCTACCACAATATCATTATATGATAGAATACCAACTAAAGACATAGCATCATCATAACGGGCAAGTGTTAGGTTAGATCCAGTGCAATCAATTTGGTCAGAAACAATTGGAATATACATGTTATCAGTAAGAAAAGGATTATATGACTTTATATAAATCGGAAATGTTTAATTATTTTTTTTAATTAGACGCAAAAAAGAAGCTATAATGAACTTAATAAATAAATTGTAGAAGAAAGGCATCCAGTTGTATCTGAAAAATGAAGTATTTCCGTAATTATATTATATAAAAATTGGAGAAGACTTCACTTTTCTAGATATATTTTCAGGTATGATATTAGCCTTTGCGAAATATAGAGATATATCAAAAAGAGGCGGTAATGAACACACTAAGCAAATTGCAAAAGAAAGGCAAAATAGTATACATTCAAAGGATAAGTCTTCTTCAGAAATATTATATAAAATAATGAAAGAAGACTACCCTAACACTAGTATGTACTCAGGTATGGGCAGTGATATACATTTTCGATGTTCCAAACATTTTGAGATTATCCCACACTATGTCCCAAAATGTCTCACATTAAGTTCCAATGTCCTAGACCATGTCCTAAAAATGTCCCATGACAACACTAGGTATGGATACTTTTATTGGCGTATTTATTTTTTCATCCTCCAAAATGAAACATACAGCAAGCTAGTAAACAAATCATAAAAGGAAGACAAGTAGATATGTATTTGAGAGTGAAGTCTTCTTCAGAAATATATTATATAAAATTGAAAAAGACTTCACTTTTTAGATATGTGTTTGGCTACAATATAGTCTTTGCATAAAACTTATTCGCTTAATTTCAGCTAACATTATTCTACAATTTAGGCCAGAACTTTGGATATAATATTTTAGCATTCAAGTTAGCATAAACTGACAAACTAATAAAACCTCTCTAGCTCCTCTCCAGTTTCATGACAGTTCTAGGAGAGTTTCATAATACCACCAGGACGCTATTATAATGCCATCACGATACCATCACGACATCAAATTGGATTCTCAAATCATATGTGCAAAAGATCGACTAGAGTTATACTATAGAGCTGGCTAAAATTAATCGCAAATATATTGCACTACCTATTACCTCTTTTTTACACTATTTCAGTATTTTAAAAGGCAACCAAATAGGTGCAAAAAGAAGCATCCTCAATATCTTAACAGGTCACTAAACAGGTCCAGAAGCAGAAAAACAAGCGAATAGCTCTTTAGAAACAAAAAGAACGCAAAACATTGTAAACACATGAATAGTTTCTTAATAATAAAAAGAGGATAGAACAATAAAATCAAGCAGATAGCTACAAGTCAATAAAAAGATCACAGAACAATAAAATCAAGTAAATAGCTATAATGAAATAAAAAGATCACAGAGAATCGAAAACATAAAAGTAAATAGCATTATAACATAGGTAGGTAGCAGTATAGCATAGGTAGATAGTAGTATAGCATAAGTAGGTAGCAATCTTATAAGATTGCTACCTACTAAAATATAAAATTAATAAAAATCTAATAAATTTTATAAATTTAAAACAAAGCCTTATATAAAACTTGATATTATTTTAATTCATTATTATATTTTATATATTAGATATAATATAATTATTTAATAACCAAGTTCAAAATTAAATGTATTTACTAATTCTTTAATAATAAATAATATTATTTTATAATTGTAAAAATTATATAAATCTTTCTATTTAAATGAATAATATATTATTAAAATTTTTTTTTTAAAATATATTTTGTATATTTAGAATATTAATAGAAACTATTATTTGAAAATTTATAATCTTATGTTAAAGAGTAAAAGAGTAATAATAATTATAAATATAATTATTTTAAAAGAAAATATATATTAAGTATTTTTAGTAGAATATAGTAATTAGTAAAAGAAATATTTACCTATTATTATTATTATATTTATTTTTAAATAATGAAATTTCTGTTTAATCTTATTAGATTTATTGAAAAGCTATAATAATGAAAACTATATTTATTTTTTTATTTATAACATAATAAAATTTTATAAAATTATAATTTTAAAGATTAATAAAAGAAAGAACATATTTTTTATTATTAGCAATTATATTATGATTTGTTAAAAAATTGTTGAAAATACTATAGTTAAAAACCTTTTTTTTTTCTAAATAAGATTTAGACTTTACAAAATATAATAATAATGTTATTCTTGTTAATTTATCTAATTTTAATCAAACTTTAATGAATTTTAAACTTAAAATAAAATGAATGGAAATGAATATTAAAAAAAAAAATAATTAAGGTTTTTGATTTAGAATATAAAAATTATATCTAATTTACTTAAAACAAATTTTTGAATAAAATTTCAATTTGCTTTCTTTTTTCAGCACATCCCAAATATCTAATTAATGATAATTAATAAATCAAATAAAGACAAAATTTTCAGTTTAATAATTTTTGATAAACTACTGTAATTAGAAATTCAATTTATTTTAAAACAATGAATCAAACTATAAAGTAATTCAATAAAGAAATAACTAATACAGCCAAATTCTGGCTTTCAAATAAAAAAATTAAGTTCGTTAAAATTTGATTGACAATCATGTATCGACTCGATTGCTAAGTAAGGCAGTAATTTAACTTAATATTGAATATTGCTTATTAACTAGTTTAACTAGTTTATGAGTCGATTATCTATTTCTAAGTTTTTGTTGACAGATCAGTCATATGATCGGATTGCCATCCCTAATTGACGATTCAAATTACAATGAACATAATATGTAATTTTTTATCATGAACGTAAATTTGACCGAAAAAGAACAAATTTATACTTCAACACACTCTGATACCAGCGGTCAAGAAATATTATTAAGCTTATTAACAGATTCTTTACCTGAGACACAACGTGAACTAGTTAATAAAGAATGGAGCAAAGATTATCTCGATCGACTTACATCCCTCTCTCTAGAATCACTTAAACTGGAGCCTACTTTAGTTAAAGATGAAGAATCTAAAATTCAGAAAGAGTTAGCAGAACTTTCTTTTCGCGAGTACAAGTCATGTATTCATGTTAATAATTGTTATACCGATATTAATTATTCTTTAGATAATTTATCTTCGCATTTATCTTCCTTAATGACAGCAATTACTTCATTAGAAAATTCATCTAGTTCTTTTTCTCAACACACTAAACAAATATCACTACAACGTAATAAAATCAATACAATTTTAGAGCATAATGATAATCTATTGGAAATTTTGGAAATTCCCCAATTAATGGATACCTGCGTTCGAAATGGTCTCTATTCTGAGGCCATGGATTTATTACAACATGTTGCAAGACTTGTTTCAAAACACTCCAATATACTTTTGATTCGACAAATTGAGCAAGATGTTAAACAAACGATGCAACTAATGTTATCAAAATTAATCTCTCTTTTACGAGAACCGATCAAATTACCAAGCTGTTTAAAAGTAATTGGTTACCTAAGACGTATGGAAGCATTTGATGAAGCAGAATTACGTCTTGTATTTTTGCTTTCTAGAGATTCCTATTTGCAGATTTTAATTAATTCCATTGATAAAGAAAAGAAAGAACCTGTACAATATTTAAAAAAATGGATCGATATTTTTAGGGAACACTTTTTTGATATAGTTACTCAGTATAGATCAATTTTTGCAGAGGATGTCGGAGGACTTGCATCAACACCTATTTATTCTTCATTTATGATCCCACAATCTCCTTCATCACCATGGATGACTTCCTCTTCCCTGATGGATATTACAAATGATAATCCTACTAGGAGACATAATTTAATGGCAACTACTGTTCTTGCTGATTATACAATTCATATTCTCAATCAATTGACTTCAGTTCTTGCTGAATTCACTCCTCTTATAACTGATATTCAATCCCTTTCATCAATCTTGACACAGCTTATGTATTGCGGAATGTCACTTGGTCGAGTTGGTGTTGACTTTAGACATCTTGTGACAAAATATTTTGAAGAAAGCGTTGAAAGGATAATTAAGAAAATTATATCGGATGGTACACAAGCATTTTTAGATGAATTGAAACAAGCTATTAAGAATATAAATTTGCCAAACACGTGGATGATAGTTGATAAAAAATCTACTAATTTGCTTGAGTCTTCAATACGATCTTCTTCATCATTCACACCATTAGTCATTCTATTAGATTATCCACCTATCGCTTATTTAACAAATGCCTATCTAACAGCTTTTAATTCTCTTCGTATAGTGGCTCCTGTATCATTATATTATACACTTGGTGATTACCTTTCTTGGAACCTCTTGACAATATCAGAGACATTGCGTAATTATGGAAAACTTCTTGTTGACAATAATCATGATACGACGGTCCTTCAAGGATTTAACGCAACTTTTGCTAGAAGTTTTGTACCTTTTATCACAAGGTGTTATGTAGACGGAGTTTATGGAGGATTATTAGGTGGTGGTGATGAAGCTCATTTAGAGGTCATTGACCAAACTAAAATCTTGAATATTTTAAAAGAATTTTTACCTGTTTCAATGAATAAATCGAATAAAAGTTGATTATATTATTTTCTAAATTTTATATACTGTATTTATTGATAAATTGTCAAACTAAACGAATTAAAAACAAGAATAACAAGAATACGTAATGAATTACGTGTACAATTTCGAGAATAGTCTACAGGTATTACATAATCTATATCAAAAAAAAATTATAAATAGAGGCTGATCTCGACTGTTGGAATATATTTAAGAATTTTCTTTTTTAATAAGTTATTCGTATACCTAAATGTCTTTTTCTTATACAAGAACTTTACTGTCAGGGTCAGTTATCCCAACTTTGGAAGGAGATAAATTGATCCTTCCACCTTTTATTCTTGAAGAACTTTTACGTGCATCTAGTAGTAATTCACATGATTTTTCGGAAGCACAACTCCCATATCCAATTACTTTTCAGATATCCAATCCCAGGACACAATTAATTACGCATGGAGGTGTTTTGGAATTTAATGCAATCGATGATAGGGTTTATTTACCAGAATGGATGTATAATTCGCTCGCTCTCGTTGAAGGCGAGGAAGTTACACTTCGATTAAAAGAACTACCAAAAGGAACTTGGGTGAAATTTCGCCCAATAGACACTGAATATAAGAAGATAAAAGACTATAGGTAAAACTTATTCATGCGGAATTTACAATCATTTCAATATTAATTAAAGTCTCTTTATATTTTTTTTATAGGGCGGCCTTTGAAGGATATCTACGTTCTCATTATACTACTTTAACTACAGGAGAAATTCTTATAATAAAACAGGCAAATTCTTCTTATCAATTTATAGTGGAGTCTTTAAAACCTGCTAAAGCTGTACGAATTGTTGATACAGATTTGGAAGTTGAAATATCACCGCTCTTTGATGAAGAAGCTTCTTTAAGTATGGATAAGGATATTCATGTTGGACGGACTGTTGAAGGAATGATTCAAAAAGATGATTATGCTTATTGGAATTTGAAAAGTATCGAAAAATCACGTGGAATAAATATTGTGTTAAATGTTAAGGAAGGAGATGCAGGTAAATATGATTCTCATAATTTCTAATACTATAATTACCTATTCACTTGAATTTCCATTTAGATATTGGCTGATCGTCCCATTCAATATTATGATTTCAGATCTTGTCGTATCCAATGTCCAGTATCCAAAAGATGATGACCATATTTGGTCAAATTTTTCATCTGAACCTTCGAAGTCCGTATTTATCTCGTCCACAAATTTCGAATATGCCACTAAAGATGATATTCACATTGGAGTTCATGGATATGGTGATTCGTCAAATTCTTATGAACTAACCGTAACACATTCTGACCAACCACCGAAAATGTCAGAGCATTCAATGGAATTAGTTAATGATCATGCTCCTGGGTACGTTCAATGTAGAAATTGTGGAAGCTGGATACCGGAAAGAACGATCACTTTACATTCAAATTTTTGTGAAAGGAATAATATCATGTGTAGTTTATGTAATAAAGTAATGAAAAAAGGAGAAGAGAAAAATCATTGGCATTGTTCTAAATGTGATAAGGTAAATTTTAATTTTTTTGCTATTAATCACAATGCACGATATATCGTTAATTAACATTATATTTATTTTATTATTTAGTTCGGTGATATTTCGGAACAAACAAAGCATGATGATATTTTTCATAAAGATCGCGATTGTTCATGTGGGTTTACAACAGAGTCATTACCGGATTTAGCATACCATAGACGAACGATGTGTCCGGACAAACTTATAAAATGTAGATTTTGTCATAATTTAGTTATCCAAGGAGAGCTGTCGACCAATCAGAATGATATTTTGGAAGGATTTTCTTCTCATGAGGCATATTGTGGAGGTAGAACCATCACTTGTTTAAAATGTGGAAAAGCTGTTATATTAAAAAATATCGCGGTTCATGCAAAGATGCATGAAGTTGAAAAACAAAATCAAAGATTACCACCACTTTGTAGAAATGCTAATTGCACGAGAATTTCAGCTGATAACTCATTAAGATTATGTACGGTTTGTTTTGGACCTTTTTGGTCACCAACAGCAGATCCAACAAGAAAAATGTTGTTTACAAGAGTAGCAAGAAAATATCATCAGCAATTAACTGTTGGATGTAAAAATTCTTGGTGTAAAAATGAGGTAAATATTTAATTTTTAAACGAAATTTTTATCATATTGTTTTATAATTTACTAAATTTAAATTATGATTTAGTATTGTGCAACAGGTAATTCACAACCAAAAGATGCCACAACAGCGGCAACTACGTTAATCCCACTTTTACAGCAAGTACAGCAAGTTCATTCAGCACCCATGTATTTTTGTGTGGATGAAATTACCATGAAAAAACGTTTACTTGCAAATTTCCTATATAAAGGAGAGGATGGTCAAGGTGTCAAAGGAGAATTTTCTATTGAATTTTGTGTTAAAGCAATAGAAGTTGAGAATGAAGATTTAGTTAAAGCGAGGCAATGGTTAATCTCAAATGCACCTAATAATTTTCTTAAAGTTAAAAATTAATTTTATAATAATAATCAAATCATTTTAGCAAGGAATATTAGAGAAATTATAATTGCAAATTAAATTAATAACTTAATTTACTTTTTATGAATAAACACAGTTGTTTGCATAACCTATTTTCCAGGGTTGCTTAATAAAATATATTCGAGTCCAATAAATTGAAACTTGATAACTACGCCTCTAAATTTGGTCCAACCGAAATCAAATAAAGAAATTGAACGAATTCATTTAAACTTTATTTATATTAATTAAATATCTGGGATACCCATTGGAAAATCGCTGGTCAATTTTCAAAATATTCAAACTTAAATATGTCTTATTATAATCATGGTAGAATAATAACTTGAGTTCAACTGGAATTGGGTCTCATTGAATAAAAAAAATTTAAGCGTATTATTTATTCTGATCTCGGTTTTATTATGCAATATGGGCGAAAACTTTATTAATTTCTATGACTAGATCTTTACTATAAATATTCGCGGAATTGCACGGGAAGACTGTTCTTTTCAAAATTATACCTCTAATATTAAACATGCAGAAAGATAATCACATATAAGCTGTAAATTTTTAATAAAATTCTTCTAAACAACATAACTCATTATTGGTTTGAAAGAAATACTCGATCATAGTGCTGTTTTTATTTGCGAAACGGCTATCTACAATGAACCTCAATATTTTAAGGCCTTGTGTTATTGCATTATGTAAAAGGTCAAGAGTTGGCTCAATGGCCAATGGATCCAATAAAATGTATTCAATGGATGTTGGCTAATTTATTATATATAAATTTAATTGGTTTTAAAGCTTATATAACTCATTAGAAATATGATTTGCTACTTGTTATAAAATTATTATTTTAATTTTTCTTAATAAAAAATTATTCAATTATATTTTTATTTTTTATTTTTCATTATATTACATAAATATAAAATAAAATTTTTTTTAAAGTTATATATTATATAAAAAGAAGCATATTTTAAAAATGATTAATATTTTAGGTATTTTGAATAAATTAATATTAATGATAGTTTAATAAACTTATATTACTTGATAATTAAAATAGTAAAATAGTGAACTAGAAGTCTCATTTTCCAGTAAGTTTATCTAAAGACATTTTTTTGATAAAATCTATTATAAAATATTAAATCTTTTTTATATAAAATATTTATTAAGTTTATTTATCAAAAGTTTGTGAAAATATGTTATTATTAATTATTTATTTCATTTTTAATCAGTATTTAAAAAGATTTTCTATATTACTAGTTAGAGGAGTCACAGATATTACATAATATCATATAGGGGAAAGGGGGTCAGAAATGTCTTATGTAATATGAATTCTAAAAATGGAAATATATAATACATAATATACCTACTTTCTATTGGATGATAAATAATAATGAGTTGGGTAATACAAATGTCTCTTCAAAATAAGAAAAAAAACTGATAAATAAAAGATGTTTTATTTCATTCAAATTTAACGTTTTATTTTATGCAAAGTGTTAACTGTTTTATATAGGAGCAATGAATATTGGATCTTATTATGTCTTAGGATTCTTGGAATGAGAAAACATCTATGGTTTGAAAAAAAAACACAAGTAGGAAAGTATTTTTTACATATATTACTTTCAAGCTTTGTATATTATTTAACATCAATGGAAGAATAATGCTCATCATATTTTATTAATTTTGCTGAATCTAGGTATTATGCGATGTGTATTGGGTTCAAAAAATGATTGTCTTTGTCTTGAATTACAGGTGAAAGGAAGCTATTCGTTGATTCAAAGAAAGAGGTAACTTCAGGAACTTATTTTTGTAAACAGCATTCTGAATCTTTGCATTTTTGTATATCTAAGGAATATTTGCACAGTTATGTATATTTTCAATCTAAGCCTACAGAACTGGTTTAGCAATTTCTTTAATGTCTCTATTCTCTCTATCACGAGTTTTCTCATTATTGCTATTATCGATTCCTGCATTTGCTTCAAAAATTATATCTGAAAAAGGGACTGGTCACTCGTCAACATATTCAAAATAGACAGGTTTACCAAAAATTTTATCACATCGCCAAATAGTACACAAAGCTTCACCGACATGTTGAAAATTTCATAGTCAAAGCTTTTGATTAATAACTTTTTCTTGAGAATCAAGATGTTTACCAAATGTATCGATAGGTAAAGAGATTTCTGCTAGTTTTTTTAGACAAGGTTGCATAGATCTTTTAACAGGATTGAACGCAGATTGATCTGGGATATGAGTTCATATAGTTAGATAATCAAGATCCAATTTTTTAAATAAACAGCAATATTGATATATATTTTTGAGATATTAGTAGTTTTTTATCTAGTCCTCCATCTACTAATATTACCTAAAGTGATTTGATTGTATCATTTATTTTAAAGACTTCTTTATATTCTCCTATTGATACAAAGTTAATCAAATCTTGCATATGCATTAAAGAATTTGTATCAATATACTATTGAGATCGTACATAAATTGCGAGTTGTCCTGTCCTTATTGTGTCATTTGAATTAGCTAGATTGATCATTAAATAAATGCTTAGAACTAGCTTTTGAGATACACTAATTAGAAAATTATGATCTTCTACTTTCACAAGCTCAGTAATTGATTGTACTATTTGAAACATATATCCTACAGCAGGTATGCTAACATTAATAATACCTGATAAAATTACCTTTCTTAATATAATGAAATTGACGAAACTGAAATGACAAATCTAGTTTTTATTAATGACAAAATTATTTTACTTACTTGCCAAAATTATATTTAACTTGATCTAAATTCCTTGAATTAAAATACATTAAAAAATATAATAATTTTATATTTATTCATATAAAAATATTAAAAAGACAAAACTTTTGATAAAATTACAATTTTTTAAAAAAGAGTTTAGTCAGATATCACTAGCCAACATTAACTTTTACTTTATCACCTTGTGATATTATAACCACTAGATTAGATAATATGCTCACAAATAATTTTGATGCTTTTATTGAAGCTAAACAATAATGTGAATCAATGTGTTCTTTTTTACACTTCGTGAAATATTAGCTATTCTGACCATCACAGGATGATGATAAGCTCTTGCTGTGATATAAGTTTTATTATTTGGTAATATATAATTGCGAAATATGCTTATCAATAAGTATTCATTATAATTATTTTCTAACTCCTCTTATAAATATGCTACTGATCTAACTTTAATTATTTATTTCTTCTTTTAGCATCAGCTGCACCAAATTCAATCGAACTGTGTATGTGTTTAAGAAGAATAGATGTTCAAAAAGAACTGAAGGACAGCTAGCATGATCGTAAATAATTACTTTATTTTCTTTATTAATACGTTTTGCTTTTTTTGATCTAGACTTTTTCTGATAATCTGCATTCCGTTTAAGTTTTTTCAAATTATTTTTTTTTTCAAAATCATTTTTTAAATTTTCAATACGTATATGAAAGTCCTTACTAGGGTTCCTCAAAATCAAATTGAATCAAATATTGAAGCAATTTGAATTTGATTTGATTTTTTCAAATCAAATCAAATCAAATCAAATCAAATCAAATATTTGATCAAATTAAATCAATTCAAATTCAAATTTGATCAAATCAAATCAAATCAAATATAAAATTTTTTTTAATTATTATAATGATATATTAAAATA